GAGGAGGAGGAGGAGGAGGAGGAGGAGGAGAAAGACGGCAACACCAACAAAATCGACAGTAACGACAATAAAAACAACAAGAATAATAATGACAACACTATCCGCAGCACTAGCAGATGAAGCAGGTGAAAATGCTTTTCATATCTATTACATATAGTTACGATATGAGTAGTTCAACAAAGATATAGCGATTGTTACATGTTGTTATCGATCCAGAGCGATTGTTACATAAAGCGACAAACACTTGTATGACTTGACAGTTCTTGATCACCCTGGATTGTTCTATTTTCCCGCCTGTCCTTTATCCAAAGGTGTCACCCCCCCCCCCACGCCTTCCTCCCCACAACTACTTTACTAAAGGATTCCATGTTCAGATAACAATAATAACTTGACAAAGAATTACATGTAGGCGTGCTGACATGGGACCTACGAGTAGAAAACAGGACAGACTTTCCCCCCTCAAATCTACTGTTTCATGGGTGGCTCGATAGAGGAAAATTAGATCTAGCTAGAGGTGGACTTGATGGAACTTTATTTTGAATCATGGACCTGAGACAATCCTATTTCACCTTCTGCTGGAAAGAGATAGCGATTGTGAGTGGATAAACATATAACTCAAACGAAGCATTTACGCTCACGCGCACACACGAAAACACGCACACACGCACACGCTCATACACAAATGCACAAGACAATAATTGAACTGGAATTCACAAGGAATTAAGAGAAAAGGTCGACCTGAAACAAAATGGTGCTGATCCATAATGGCTGGCTTATGAAGACTTAGACTGGTAGGGGGTAACTGATGAAGAAGGCCCAGGACAAAGACGTCTGAAGCAATCTTGTTTGAAGATGATGATGATGATGATGATGATGATGATGATGATGATGATGATGATGATGATGATGATGATGATGATGATGCTCATGATGATGATGATGTTAATGATGATGATGGCATTTATAAAAGTTTTGAAATTTTACAGTCTCCATCGTTTTTCGTCTTTTTACGGTCTACAATGATGATGATGACGATGATGATGATGATGATGATAATGACGCAGCTGCTGTTGCTGCTGCTGCTTTTGCTGCCGATGCTGTTACGGCTGCTACTGCTGCTACTGCTGCTGCTGCTGCTATGATTATGATGATGCTAATGCTGAAAACAGAATGACCATGGATGAATATTTGAAACGAATAAACAGATTAAAAAAACGGTTGCTGTCTTAATTAACTCACCCATTCTTTCATCGTTCCTTTGGGTAAAGCTTTCTTGTACGGAGCAAGACGTTCGTTGAGCGTTCTGCAAGCATCCTGGAATACATTGATGTAAAGAACATTATACGAATTTTGGTTAGGTGGTGGAACAGGCCAGGATAAGATTTACACAGAGATCATATCATTATTGGGAGTTTCGAAACATCAGGGAGAGAGATTAACCACTTCACTGCCAGGCCCGAGAACTTAGTTATGGAGAAAGTCTTAGAGTAAAAGCGCATTTCTGTGCTTCATAAATCTCAGTTCATTAGATATAAACTTTCATTGAAGGCTACATTTTGTTTGAAGTAGGGAGTTTGGTCTCGTCGTTGTCCCCTCTCAACCGTCAACACTGTCGACCCTACAATGTTAGCGGCAGTGAGCTTTATGTTTACAAAACACCTCCCTTCCCGTCACTCTCATTATATTTTTCTCTCAGCCATTGAGAGACTTGGTGGAATAGAGATTTAAAAGACCCATCTAGATATGCAGAAATAAGACCAGTAAGTGATAACATGACCAAATACTTACATATTATTGCGTAGATTTCCTTCTATCAAAAAGTGCTTATGATGAAGTTGCAAAGTATAGTCTATTGGAATTAAGCTCTTGTGAGTTGTCGTGGTGTATGCAAATGAGCAAAACCCTTAAAATTTACAAATTTGTTCTTATTTTATGTTATTTTATTCAAAACGAAATTCGAGTCCTTGCGACCATATACATTATAGTGTCCCCCGCGGGAGCAACAGTGGTAGTACCACAGTCAATGAAGTTATATCTGAGGTGTCGGTACTGCTAACAGTGGGCAATAAGGGGAGTTAGCGTTTACGTGGAGGGATTTAAGGGGTAAAAAGGAGAATGGAATGATATGAGAATACAAGGGTACAGGGAGGCCGGGGGAATGGGAAAAGAGGGGAAAGGGAAGGGGAGTAGGTGGAAAGGAAAGGGGATGGGAAGGAAAGGGGATGGGACGTTGGGGGATGAATGAGGATGGGAGGAGTTGTATAGGGTATGGGGGTCGGGGCTACGGTACGCGAATAGGATTGAGGGGTTGGAACAAGATGTGAAAGGTTTATTTGTTAGGATTAGAGGTAGAATGAAAAGACACATTACTGACCCAAATCGCTCATTTGGACTTACTATGACGGCTGCGCCGTAGAGATCTGATGACATGCTGGCGGCTGTTGGGCCAGTGTTGGGTACTGTGGAGGTGGAGGTTTCACTCACGTGAATGTCTGTCACAGGCAGCTCAAGCTCCCGGCTCACAACCTGGGCAAGTATTGGCTGTGTTTAGCTTGTTAACGATGCGCGGTTTTTGTGGTGCGGTACTTTTTAAAAATGGTTTTTGTTTTACGGCGCTCGCAACTGCACAGCGTCATATGAGCGCAAGGGTGTGAGGTACTTTAGAAATGAGGCACAACTTCGATATTGATACACATTTTTCAGATCTGTTTTCATTATCTGAAACTTAAACCCCCCCCCCCCCAAAAAAAAAAAAAACAACAACAAAAACAACAACCCCACACACACACACACAAAAAGGCACACAACAGCATACATACTGTGAAACGTGTAAGTTCATGTTTTTGATTTATGTATAATGATTCAAATTGTGTAACAACATTGCCTTTGGTCTGCTGCTGATCGGGCATATAATGCGTCTGTTAAGTTCTTTAAGAGTCAAGGAACTGATAGGAAGAATATTGAGGGAGAGGCACAGCCGCTACTCTCTCTCTCTCTGTCTCTCTCTCTCTCTCTCTGTGTCTCTGTCTCTCTCTGTCTCTCTCTCTCTGTCTCTCTCTCTCTCTCTCACACACACACACACAAACACAAACACACACACACATATACCACACACACACACA